TCATCACTGAGTATTCAGGAGGCTGCCCGTGCCAGAAACTGCTTGAAGCGTGTGAAGACCCTCAGGCATCCATCAGTGATTCTTTACCTGGAAAGCTTAGAGGTATACAGTAAAAGAGCTTTTCCGTTTTGCCAGGTATCTTCTATGAGTACGTTTGTTTTTACAGACCGAGTCAACGTTGGATATTGTCACTGAGTCTGTGCAACCGCTGACGTGTTACCTGGAAAGTATTGAGAGCGTGCCGAATAAAGACGCTATTCTTGCCTGGGGCATACTGCAAATAGCCGTAAGTTTTTACGTAGGATAATTTCTTGTTTTGGCTGATTTTGTTTAAGCAGTTAGGTTTATTTGTACTGCTGCCTTATGCTTTATATTTACACAGTTACAATTTGGGTTGCGGTTGTGCGAGTGGTTTTCGAGCGTAGAGTTTTAGTTCTGTCGCATAAACATAATTAGTTGATGGTATGTCCAAGTATGTGTAATAACGACGACCCCATTAAGACCGATTTCACGGTTCATCACTTCTTTTTAGTTGTCTGGAGAGGGGGGCATTTAATTAGTCCATTGGTCCATGGTATCTGAGCACCAGCAGTGCTCTCTGTGCTAACGCATCTCGCATCATTCACGAACAGTATTTCAGGAGTTGGTTCACCTTATATTCTACCGCGTAAACATCATAAGTGTATGGTGTGTACTTCGTATGCACGAGTATGTAAAATAAATAATGGTCGTGGAGGGGTCATTTGATAATTTTGGTTTTAGCTGTGATATGTAATATGTTTCTTCTTGCTTCGAAATCGTGTGCCGGTAAAGCCCCAGAAGTATTATCAGGGTGTAATTATGCTTGCCGTAGAAAGTAAAGCGAATTTCTTGTGCGACATGATGTCACAGTGGCTATGAGGTTAGCTTTCAACTACTGAGGTGCTGGGTTGGAATCTGGTCAAAATACAGCCTTTCTCTTAACGGCGAATTTCCTTGAGCAGGAAGTTAATCACACACTGCTTCGTTGCAGCTAGCCAGGAAATGACGAATAAGTCGGTGACAGCATGAAACAGTATGGTATTCTGATCTAGTCATGCCAGAATGGATGAGCCCCCTTTTGGATGCGCTGCGTTATGACTCAGCTGATAGCTGACTGATCACTGTGATAATTAGCGCAGTGTGTTACGTCGATTTCGATGCCACAACAGAATCGCTCTTTTATCTTTTCACTTTGCGCTATATTCTTGAATGATCCATAACGTACCAGCTGCCATTTACTGCCGCGTCTAAAACTCTTTACCAAGTTATTATTCTTTACAATGCCCAAAGGCAATTAGATGGTAGTTAGCTGAAACATAGTAAATTTATTTGCCACAGAATTGGCGGAGTTGTGTCACAATGTTCCCTTACTATGGTCATCAGATCAATTGGCATATCATATGACAGGTAATTATCTATATACCTATCTATGATTTCTTATCTGCTATTAGTGTAAAAGAAGATTCACTTATCATGATTGCTTCTTCTCGCGGATGCAAACTGGCCAGACAGTGCTTCCGACGTTACCGATCCTGTGCCAGAGTCTGAGTTTCGGCAGAAGACAATCGGAGTCTGGAATAGACTCTTTCCATATATTTGTACCAGGTTCATCATGGTCATCCCCCTGGGCATTCCACCTGTCTGCTGAGAAAGAAATAGTTCCTTCGCTTGCCTTTCTAACAGGTGCCCAAACATCAGTGACTGTGTTTGTGACTTCTCAGTCTGAAGAAGCAGCGACTGTACTGCAAGGTTCTTGCTTATCTTTGTATTCCAGACCATGCCAAGATCTTGATGTGAAACAAATGTTAACGTAAAATTAACAATAAAAGGGACAGACAGGTAAACGTTCTTCTATGATATACGTCCTTTGTTCGTAGGTTGATTTTCAGTGTTGTAAAACATACAGACGAAGAATGGAATCACTGAGCATTTGCATCTTTCGATTTTTTCGTTTAGATGCGTAAAACCACCAGATCTGGTGATTTAATATTTGAAATGTAGCCGGAAAGCAGGCCGTGTATTACAACAGCTGTTTTTGTCTTGCTTTTGAGTCACGAATTACGAATCACTTCCGTTGATATTTCCGTAAATTTTGATTACTTGGAAATCCATATTTGAGGAGGCCAACGAAAGCCACTGAACAACTATTGATAAATATAAAAATGATGAATTATAAATCGATAAGCGTGTTTTAAATATTCTTTGGTGCACGAAAGTCAGTCAGCTGCGTAAGATAGTATGACACTTGCCGAACTTTATTGAGTGTATGAAAAGTTATGTAACGACCATTTCAAGACATGAAGAATAATCACGCACTTCTGTCCATTAGCTCCATTGACTGATTGAAGGTTTGTGCACACCGCGTTTCGCAAATACCATGCGGGAGCGGGTCTACTGCCTGGAAAACACTAGCTCCACGAATTACTGTGATTGAATATTAGTCGGCCATTGGAGACTGACTTCATGCGAGGGAAACCTGGATGGGTATTGAATTTTGGTCCAGATATGACAGGTCATTTCAGTGTGACAACATAAGGGAAGCGGAAGGAAGCAAAATTTGTTACATATGGAGTGTTTGTCTTCCTTAAACCTAAATCATAAGGCCATTTTACTTGCCCTTCTTTCCATGAGGTTAATGTTATGAATCCTGATCTCTGTTTACATGCCATCAGTAAGGAATATCTTATTTTCTTAACGCAGAGTTAACACCAGCTATATGACATGGCAAAGTTAAAAGATTTAAACAGTTAATATCTCCAATCGAGCTCACTGCTACTCACCTGTCGTCTGTCGTCAAACGGCACCGGCTTTTCTGATTCGAAGATATCCTTCGCGCAATCCTGCGAAAAGATCGGTATCCAAAACATTGCATGCCATTCCATGATTAGCAGCTTTAGATAGTCTTTAATCAGGCATAAGCGTTGCCTAATGCTTAATTTGTTGTACTTCCTTATAGAAGTCGCCAAGGTTTCTGGAGTATGTTCGGTTTAAGTGTGCGGGTAATTTTGCACTTAATTTTCAGACGTGGCAGATTTGATTTTTCTCTTGATGTTATATTACTGTATTTGTTGTTTACTATTTATTATTTTTGTTTTCCTTTTGTTGTAGAACGCCCTGTTATTTCTCTCGCGGGATGCAAAGCTTCACCATGGTCGTATCAGCGTCACTTCCGTCTACGTCAACAAATGCTGCGAATGGAAACTTTTCGGATTCGAGCATTTGTTCACCACTGATTCTGCAGAAGGCGATTATCTGTCCCCGTCGTCCGACGTCTATCAACCCAGAGGCCTGTCTCGTCGAGCAGCCACGTGAGTGTCCTTATGTAAACTTTTTTTGATTCTCATCATAGAACGTTCACAGCCACGAATATTTAAGCATCTTTGGTTTTGTTTTATGTTATAAGGTAATAAATGTCTTCATTTTCATCTTCCAAGACAATTTCTCCTTCCGGGTCGCCAAAACAGACGCGCCAGACAGTACTTCTAAAGTTCCCCATCCTGAGCCACAGTCTCAGCTTTCGTAGAAGACACTTGGTGTCTGAAGCATACTCGTTCCACATATTTATCTTTATCTTCATCTTCCATGGCCGCTTTTCCTTTCGGATCGCGGACTCAGAGACGTCAGGCTGACCTTCCAACCTTCCCGATTCTGTGCCAGACTCTCAGCTTCAGCAGAAGACAACTATAATCTGGAACAGACTCCTTCCATATATTTGCCCAGGTTAATCTTGGCCGTCCACTGGGCCTTCTGCCGGTCGGATTTGCAAGGAACGGTTGCTTAGCCTTCTTTTCTAGAGGCTTCGCAACACATGCCCAAGCCGTCGCAGCTGCGACTTCTCAATCTGGAGAAGCAGAGGTTGTATACCAAGGCTCTTCCAGATGTAAGTATTCTGTACCACGTCCAGATGCGTAAGGCCAACGACTCGTCTAAGAAAGCCCATTTCAGCAGCTTGTACCCGGATTCGAAGTTTTTCAGTGATGGCCCGCGATTCATGACCGTAGGTAAGTATGGGGATAAAGATCGACTTGAATATTGAGAGCTTAATTTTCAGACTGAGTTCTGCTTTGGTCACATTGGATCGGCCTAGTTCACGAAAAATGCCACTGGCTGCTCCAGTTCGGCGGTCGATCTCTTCCTCATATTTTGCATCAGTAGCAAATGCAGTTCTGATGTACTTGAACTTCTCCATTGCTCCACTGCCTCTCCGTTAATATGAAGAGAGCAACGGTCAGGAGAACAAGAAAGCACTAGGTTTTTCATTTTAGATGCATTCACACGCGTGCCGGTCATGTCGCGCTCGGCTGCGAACCTTTCTTGGGAGTACTGTAGATCAGTTTCAGAAAATGCCAATAAAACAACATCGTCTGTAAACAGTAACCTTCTCCACTTCACACCTCCTACACCGATACATTCATCGCCTTGACAGCTCCTGACTATTCTATCCATGTATAACACAAACAGGAGAGGGGGCAGGATGCAGCGTTGGTGGAGACCAGTGCGAACGTTGAATGGTTTCGACTTAACGCCATTAAGTCTGACGCAGCGCCTGCTGTCAGAATACAATGACTGGATAGCCCTCAGCAACTTGCCATCAATCC